AACAGCTTGACATTCGTGATCAGGATTTAATCCGAGGATAATACCGGTTGGAACTTACCACCATCAGGGTGTAAACACAATTTCATACAGATCTGACAATGTGATTTTGTTTGTGTCTACCTAGCCTTATGCACTAGGTAGTGTGACGTGCTGTTGTAGTGAAACGAAGGAAGAAAAGAGAAGGTTAAACATTCCTCACCATCCAGTTGATATTTATGAAATATGGACAGTTTTGGCGTGGTGACATGCACTTCCAATGAATTTTACCAATACATTTAGAAAATGATGATCGAAGAATATTTCAAAAAGAAGCAGTAAACAAATTATTTACCATTTGTAGAACCTTAAGGACTACTCAGCTAGTGCCCGGCCTTGCTCGGGATTCAATGTTAGCTTGAGCTCATGCGCCGATTAAAAAAGCATGCTCCTCCTCTTATCTAAGGAAATACCCCTATTGACCTCCACATGCCAAATTTGGTTCCATTTGCTTGATTAGTTCTCGAGTAATGCAAAAATTTCTGTTTCATTTGTATGGGAGCCCCCCCCCCCCCCCCCCCTTACAGAGGTGGGAGGTGTCTCGAACCATCATAAGAACCTTTCTCGGCCCCAAAAACCCCTGAATACAAATTTTCACGAAGAGCGGTTCAGTAGTTTCCGAGTCTATAAGGGTCAGACAGACAGGCAGGCAGACAGACAGATAGACAGACAGACTGACAGATAGATAGACAGGCAGAAATTCATTTTTGCATATATTATAATATAGAAGACTAGCTGAGTGTACCCGGCCTTGCTCGGGATTCAATGTTAGCTTGAGCTTATGCACCGATTAAAAAGAGCATGCTATATTGTACGTAGCCCCCTCCTCCTCTTATCTAAGGGGATACGCCTATGACCTCCACATGCCAAATTTGGTTCCACTTGCTTGATTAGTTCTCGAGTAATGCAGAAATTTATGTTTCATTTGTATGGGAGCCCCCCCCCCCCCCTTACAGAGGGGGGGGGGGGGTCTCAAACCATCATAAGAACCTTTCTCGGCCCTAAACCCCTGCATACAAATTTTCACAAAGATCGGTTCAGTAGTTTCCGAGTCTATAAGGGTCAGACAGACAGACAGACAGACATACAGATAGAGACAGACTGATAGACAGACAGAAATTCATTTTTATATATATACTAGCTGAGTGTACCCGGTCTTGCTCGGGATTCAATATTAGCTTGAGTTTATGCGCCGATTTAAAAAAAAAGCATGCTATATTGTACGTAGCCCCCCCCCCCCTATTATCTAAGGGGCTACCTCCTATGATTATCTCCTTTTACCCCCACACTCGCCCCCACATGCCTAATTTGGTTCCATTTGCTTAATTAGTTCTCGAGTTATGCAGAAATTGCTGTTTCATTTGTATGGGAGCCCCCCCTTACAGAAGGGGGAGGGGTCTCGAACCATCATAAGAACCTTCCACGGCCCCAAAAACCCCTGTATACAAATTTTCACGCCAATCGGTTCAGTAGTTTCCGAGTCTATAACGGTCAGACAGACAGGCAGGCAGAAAGGCAGATAGACAGACAGACTGATAGACAGGCAGAAATTCATTTTTATATATATAATAATAATAATAATATAGAAGACTAGCTGAGTGTACCCGGCCTTGCTCGGGATTCAATGTTAGCTTGAGCTCTTGCGCCTATTAAAAAAAGCATGCTATACTGTATGTAGCCCCCTCCTCCTCTTATCTAAGGGGATAACCCCTATGACCTCCACATGCCAAATTTGGTTCCATTTGCTTTACTAGTTCTCGAGTAATGCAGAAATTTATGTTTCATTTGTATGGGAGCCCCTCCCCCTTCCTTACAGAGGAGGGAGGGGTCTCGAACCATCATAAGAACCTTTCTCGGCCCCAAAAACCCCTGCAGACAAATTTTCACGAAGATCGGTTCAGTAGTTTCCGCGTCTATAAGGGTCAGACAGACAGGCAAGCAGACAGACAGACAGATAGACAGACAGACTGACAGACAGAAATTCATTTTTATATATATAATAATAATAATAATAATATAGAAGACTAACTGAGTGTACCCGGCCTTGCTCGGGATTCAATGTTAGCTTGAGCTTATGCACCGATTAAAAAAAAAGCATGCTATATTGTACGTAGCCCCTTCCCCCTCTTATATAAGGGGATACCCCCTATGACCTCCACATGCCAAATTTGGTTTCCGAGTCTATAAGGGTCAGACAGACAGAAATTCATTTTTATATATATAGAAGAAGAAGATTATAAAAATCCATCATTCACAGAAGAAGGCAAAACACACCGCGCTAAAACGTCGGATAGCAAAAACAAAATGAAAAAAAAAAATAGTAGGCTCTGCCCGCGGTCGATTTGAGCTGTCACGACTTTTCGTTTTTTTTCACGTGTTAAGTGGACCCTACACGATTGCTTTCATTGACAATAATCGTATTGTCAATACATTCAATATTGACGTCAATACATCGGTATTAACAATATTTCTGTATTCACATAATCAATATTAATTTCAATAATTCCCCTTCGCGTCAATATATTGATACGTGTGGGGTTCGCTTTAGTGATTTTTCGGTATTGAAAAACGTTAACGGCGAATGAGAACGACTCAAATTTGAGTTTAGTTCACTCATAATCGCCAAAAGTGCAGGAACTCAGCGATGAGCAAATTTGTCTCATGGTTTCCTGTGGAAAACCTAAAAAATCTGCCGAAAAATGAGGAAATTGACGAAAATTTTATTCAGTCTCGGAGTAGTACCAATAGACTGAATGAATCCAATATTTACTTTTCTCAAATTCGGGAATTTTTCCCTGGAAAAACATGAGGCAAATTTACTCATCGCTGAGTTCCTGCACTTAATGTGATTTATGAGTTGACTAAACTCAAATTTGGGTTGTTCTCATTCGCCGTGTGGCGTTGATTCGGTCATTTGTTTGTTTAGTGGAACATTGAGTAGCGTTTTTTGTTTGTTTGTTTAGGAGAGGCAGAGTGTTGCCCGTTCCAACAGTTGGAGGAGGAGGAGGAGAAGGAGGAGGTTGAGAGCTTTCGATGTCAATACCAATGCATAAATTTGAATATTGTGTGGCAAGCACAATGATACCTATGCCCAGGGAAGTCGAGAAAATTTCCAACCCGAAAGATTCCCTCTCGACCGGTCCGGGAATCGAACCCGCCGCCTCCAGCTTGGTAATACCGTGCCTTTATTGACTAGGCTATGAGGCCCCCAAGTCCGGTATCCAAGTTGTAGAATAACAGTGGGAGCGGGAGAAAAGGGAATTTTGAAGATGAGTTCAGAAGGGAAGAAAAAAGCAAATATCATGATGGTAGTGGAAGTTTGGTATATGGAATCGGTATTGTGAGTGGAAGAAGTGTATAGAAATCAGAAAACGGAGTGGTGAAAGTGGGCGGTCCGCATAACATTATATTAAGTTTGGAGAAGAACTGGATCCAGCGCAAAATTTTGTGAGATCCATCCATTTAATAAAATTTTAATTTATTCCAGTATATAACATAAAATGCATTTATAAATGCAACAAGGTTGCACCGGGTACCAGCTTCAGTTGGCTGCGGTGGCTCTTCTTTTCTTTCTACCCCTAAATAGATAGTGCGACTAAACTATTGAGCAGGGTTGGCAAAATCATCAATCAAACGATATTTTTTCGTTCTCATACACTCTCAATATGACGCGTGATAATGGAATAAAATATCATTCTTGATATTAATTTAACCGGATTTTTTGATATTGCGTTCTGGTTTGCTCGCAACGATTCTTGTTGAATCTTTTCAACACCAATTTGTTCCAAATGATGTGATGGCAAGATTCAAAGTGGCTTAATTTTTGCTCAAATGTGAATGATTGCCCATAACAAACGATCATGCGAAATTTCATGCAAATCGAATCGTCTGATCGCTTTGTCATTTGGCGTGGAAGTGCTCTTCTTTGATATACAGTGCCTTTTCGCTAAAATGTTTGCAACTGCCTTCTGGATAATTATTCATGAAATACGAGGCATCTCCAGTGAAATCACAAATTGAATAAAGTGTTCGATGAATTTTATAGAACACAAAGAAGACACAAATGTTTGCGTGCAACATTTCCGGTTTTGTTATGGTCTCCCAGTCCATTCTAAGTTTCGTGCACCTTCATAATAAAACCAAAAATGTTACTTGGGTTGTGTTGCCAAAAACTGTTCATTCGAGGTATATAAATGATATTTGGTTTAATGTATAGAATGAAGTTTGGATGCTAATTCAAATTCCAGTTTGATGACCCATCTAACCTAGTAATCACTGCTCGTATTCGCAAAAATGGCAACAATTACTACAATTAAATGATTAAGCAGATTTTTTTTTTCAATCTGGGGAAAAAGTGACACTATTGATTTTTAGTTGAATATAGTTTATTTTTTCGGTGAACTGGTGATCAGGTCACTTAAAAGTGTCTAAGCGTAACATGTTTCAACGGCACGTCGCAGAAATCATTTTCATGGGTTTCAATTACCATTATCGCTCACCATAAGATTGATACACAAGTTTCAATTTCAAGAATCGCCAAAGGCACACGAACACAACACGAACTGCAAAATACGGCGTCATCAAATTACCGGAATTGTTTCTGCCCGTGTTTGTTTACCATGAAGCCATTATTGATAACCCCCAGTGCCCAGCATCCTGCTCGCAGATGGGTGGAATTTGAGTAGCACTTAGACTACTTTGTTTCTACTGCTCTGACAATCCCGAAGAACATTAACAACCTCAATCAACATCAACCAATCGACTAAAGGTCAAGGTTTCGTCCTTAACATCTTCGTGATGCGTCGCCGTCCGAAATTTATAGCACAGTCATATATTTATCTTCTGCTCTTCTGCTTCTTGCGAACAGTAGTTCCTACAAAAGCAACCTAAAGTCATAATCTGCTCGTGGTGTTTAAAACTCGATAATCAAGTAAGCAATCAAAATCCATTAATCGTATACGTACGAGCTTTCACTCCTTCCCGGTAGAGGCTCAAGATCAGTATCGAACAGATCAGGATTTGAGAAAATGGTCCAGCCGTCATTTTCAGTTCCTAGCTGCACTACACACGGATGACCAGTTCCAAACGGGTGACAATTTCTTCAAGTTTCCAACTAGTTGCACCTCACTCACGCGTCGCGGTACAGATATTTGCGACCGAGCACTTGAACACCACTCGAAGAACTGATACGCGATCGTTGGCACGATCGTCGTCAAGCTATTTCTTGCGTCGAAGAGAACCCGGAGAGGTCTCTTCGGTTTGTGCATACATATGTGTGATCGGTCATCGGTCCGTGGATAGAGGAGACGGTTTTTGGTTCTACAGGGAATTTACGAGACACCCTATAAACCAACTATATAGGGATTCCCCTCATCGATTCACCGTCTTTGTAACAATAATGACAGCTTCTCCGGTACTGGCCATAGCTCTTAATAAATCGCCATAATTAAGAAAAAGGAGCAATTGACGCTAACACATTTCGTGCTATTTTCGCTACATCGATTGATAAAAGAAGGTATTACTGTTGGTATTACCTAGCACTCAAAACGTCAGACATAACTGATAATGTTCCTGCTGCTGAGTTGTTAACGAAAGTGAAAGTCGATGAAGCGAATCGATCGATGTAGGTAGGACGCATTGAAAAGTGACGCGAGATTTATAGGATGATTTGAAAATTTCCTCTAGATTTAACACAAAGCATGCCGCAATCCTTTCGACAGCCGAAAGGAATTAGTTGATCGTGTAGCCGATCAACAACGAACTCTCAAAGAGAGTGAGAGAGAGAGAGCTCAAAATGATTCAAGGCGCACAGAAGACGAATTCCGAATCCACAAAGGGAAACCCATAATCATAGTAGTTATCACTGACAACCGCAAAACGGTAACCGAACAGTGCGGGGCAGTGTGTTTTTCGAAAATCGCTGGGATTCCCCAGAAAGCAGTAGGCAAGATAGCGAAGAGTACACGGTTAGAAAAAAGTACCCAAAATTAAGTTCTTTTCACTCATCTCGGCACTATAGTGCAGGAACCCAAAAGTAGGTAAAGCGGGTCAATGTAATTTTCATTTACTTGTGTGCAATTCGTATGGAATTTTCCACTGGCTTTTTAACCAAAAGTGTGTTAGTTGTACCCAACAGTAGGTAAATATTATTATACTCAACGTTGGGTTCCCACACTTTACTACCCCTGTTGGGTGGTTTTGCTCCTCCGTTTTTGACAACATTAGAAGGAGAAAAGGAGACAAACTAGTCAAAAGTAGGTAAAAGTGAAGTTTCCGTCGGGTACTTTTTTCTTACCGTGTAGAAGATTGACGAGTGACAAGCTCACTCCTCATACAAACCAAGGTGGCTACATATAGGTGTTCTAATGTGTCAAATTCGTGATTCAGCCATGTTGGATTTTTGTATGGGACAGCGACCGAGTTTGTTTACAATTTGCTCTAAAACCGCATTTTTCCCCCCCGCGACCTCCTCGCCTATATAGTGACAAAGCTGTATCACCATTTATATACCCACCATGATACAAACGTTCGACTGGGTAAAATTATTGTGTATAGGGTACGGAACTACTTCGGCATTAGTGCGTATTTCCGTCATATAATATCAATGATTTTGATATGAACGAATCAATCATACGTTTGGTACGATACTTTAGTTCAAAAGCTACAAAGCAAAATATTTAAGAACGTACATCCATCATGATAGCACCATAGAGGTAACTCTAAGACCAGAAGGTTCCGAAGAAACGTGCTCAACTTTTTGGCTCAGCTCTGGTACTATCTTCCGTCCCAAGCTAATCGATGCACCCCTCGAAGCATAGGAAAATCCATGGACCCCTCATGTTATCTGTCAAACTTTCATACCGAATCAAAACAAATATAGTGTAGTCAACAATCAATACGAAAGTAAAGATTTTAAATTGGCTCACTACTTGCCTAGCCTATTGTTCCCAAGCAAATCGATTAACGTACCCCATTCTAGTATAAATTCCAGTACTACACTATGTTTGTTTTGATTCGCTATGAAAGTTTGGCACTCCTTATGATTATTTTCGATGCGGGTTTGTACATTGTATGAAGCTAATTTCGTTAGAAGTGCCACACTCGCTATCGCTACACCCAACCAGCGGGCCACAAGTGTTGGTTGTGGAGACCGAAAAATGTGGAATGTGTTAGTGAGGATGGGTAAAAATAACTTCATCATTGGATGAAATAAACATGATAAAAATAAAATAAAAAAGGGTTCAGACCAGACTCGTATCATGAACCTTGCGATAGTCATATCTGTGCCTTTTCCATCGCTCTATCTGTGCTAACGAGAAATGGAAAGGCTAAAGGCAAATAAGAAGTACTCATGGAGCGGTAATTCGATTTCGTTAGCTTTTTCTGCTGCTTGCATGTATTTTTTTCCTCTGACATAAAACCACTGCGACCAGTATTTTGATTTATAATGGTAGCTTGCATGTATTGGTCAAACTGACAATATTTCAAACAAAAAAAAAAGTATCCCATCCCCAACGCACAATCAGCACTTTATGAGACAATAAGCGCAGTTGTTGGTTTGATTGTACGAAGATGAATTTGTATATTATACGAATAAGGCGTAATATTGACATTGCGCCAGATTACGAAACGGTTTTCGGAGAAATAACGAAAATACATTTTCAGTGTAGCTACTAAATTATGCGATATTTAGGGAAGAGTGAAAACACTTCAACCCGTTCTAATTTTGAATAAAGCTCAGTTCAAACATCAATTTTTGATGCGGTTTTTGCATTGGCTTAGAGAAAATGACTGCTTCGGTACTTTTTTTTATCTATTATCGTCAAGAGGGTAAATGAAGTCTTAGAGAAATCATTTGTTTTTATGCAGAACAATTCTCTAGAATATGATACCCCTACACAGAGCTGGTAAATATCACGGTCGTCATTTGACAATGAGAAAACAGGTTCTCTCTCTATCATGAGACGAAACTACCTATCATTTGCTTTCTTGTCATTTTCCAATGATCAAGCACTCATGAGAATAATTCTTATGCGGTTTTGATATGAACATTTCTAACTGATTTAGATGAATTTAAGCAACCAACCATATGTAATCGGTAGAGTGAATATATTATAAAGTTTTCCTCGGTACAAGTAACTTTAATAGCAATAAATGAGCTAGTAATTACGATGATCACAACACTGTCACGTTCTGCCATGACAAAAATCGAAGAGATTTTGAAGAAAATCTCTATCAAAGTTTTCTCATCCGATGATAGTGACAGAAGTATCTCTGTAAATATCGCGTGAAAATGACATTTGCCAGCCCTGCCCATGCATGCAATAAGTCAGTGCTGAAGGACTTAGTTTACCCCCTGACCATGATAGATAAAGAAGTGCCGAAACCGTAATTTTTCCTAAGTCAATGCAAAAACTGCACCAAAATTGATATATGAGCTATATTCAAAATTCGGAAAATCCTTACGTAACTTTATAAATATCCTCAATCCTCGAACGAGATTACACAAATCTTAAAAAGCACTTTTTTTTTCTAAACGGATCAAAAAAATTATAATTGCTCAATTCAAACATGGAAGAAGCTTTTATTCAGTGTTTCGAGTTGTATTTATGCAATGCTACCAACTATAAGAGCAACCGTACCAATGAGTAAATAAGGCACATTTACCAACCTCTACCATAACGCTACTTGCGTACCGGGGGTTGCTATTCAGATTGGGGAAATAGCAATCCGCACCTTGGGAAGTAATGAGTTCATAAATTTAGCAACCCGGTAGCAACGCATCAGACGGCTGCTATTTTGAATAAACGCCAAAAGTTTGTTTTGCCGGTGTGGAAAACGGTAACTTAAATTATGACTCTGATAGCAACGACCGGTATGGAGTGATTAAGCCAAAATGGAAACACTGTGCGTAAGAAAAATAGTGCCGCAAATGGCAACGACTGGTACGGCTGCTCTAAGTAAATACAGCAGTAGGCTATGAACTTTCTTTCAGCAATAAAACCCGCATTAATTCCGGTGAAATTTTATATCTGGTTTTCTCGAGACCTGATTTTACTAACTACCGAAAGTGTTTTTAAACACATGTGCAGACTGTCATAATCACTACAAAATTAGGGTTTAATGTGTTCCGCTATCCAATCCATATAGGCTGCCACCCGACAGTATACACCGGGTACGCTCTTTTGCCCACAGCCACTCACTCCGAAGGAAACGATTCCGAACTGTACGAATCGGGCACCGTTATAATTGGCACTGAATCCAAGTGGTCCACCAGAGTCACCTCTACAGGAATCGACCTTATTCTTACCCCCAGCGCACATTTGATTATCGCTAAGCCGAACGTTCAATCGGTTTTCATTCATTTTCAGCTGACACTCGGATATGTCCACATGGCGTAAAACTGCCTCCAGCAAAATATTGGACCCCTTTTGAGCTTCTGTGGTTCCCCAACCAGTAACAACATAGTTTTCAAACACTTTTCTTTGTAGATCCGCCGTAACGGGTAAACATATTGGTTTTATGTGATCTGTAACGAAATTATGCGAAGTTTGACAAACATATCCAGAAACAAGATTTGCTTCATATGATATTTACCGTTCATAGTAACATCTTTATCCAGTCGAATCAATCCAATGTCGTTGCTGGCTTTCGGTCGATTGTAATCCTGGTGAACGTCGAACGATTCAATCCCGAACTCCTCAATCGGTCCAGCGCAGTCCCTTTCGATTTCTTCACCCTTGCTATTATGATAAATGTTGCAATCAATGTCTTGGCCCTTGGTATGTTCTCCGAGTACGACGCTATGTCTGGAACAAGGAAATGATACAATGAGTAATTCTTTGAACAAAGTAGTTTTCATTTAACTTACATTTCCATAGCACTTCTCATCTCGATACAATGTGCAGCCGTCAAGATGTACCGCTTGTTGATCAGCGATCCACTACATCCACCTTTGATTGCACCATTGTAATCGTACCGTAGAACAGCCATCCAGGGATAGCTAAACACTTTAGTAATATTTCCGTAAGCGAGCCTATCGTCGACTCTTAGGCCACAGTCTCTGGGTAGTAGATTAAAGTTTGCGCCTAAAGCAGGGCTGGCCGTTGTCGTAGGCGGCTCCGGGATAACTTCTGCCGGCTGACAGCAAATACTACGCGTCACTCCCGGTAGCGTGCAGGCAGCCCTTTTGATGTAGTTAGCAATGCCCGTAGACGGTGGAGTTGGATTGCTAACTATGGTGTAGATGTTTCGACACCGTTCGATCAAGACGCACGAACCGGGGTGCTTGGTTGGAGTTGTACATGGGGCACTTTCTGTTGAGTGGGTCAATACTAAAGGCCCAAGCGCAATGTGGGCGGAAGCGGACCGGAAACGGAAAATTTGACAATTGTCACTAATGACATCAAGATGCCTAACCGAAGTCGATTTGATTCTAACTAGTTTTCAATCCGACAAGTAGGCTTACTCAGATCGGACTTTTCCGCTGTCGTTGCCGTTCCGCTTCCGCCGTCATTGCGCTTGGGCCTTAAGCATTGGATATAACTTTTGAACAGAGAGCAGATTATGAGAAATTTCATCCTAGTAATGGTTTAAAAGAAGTACCTTATTGCTGTGAGTGTCTGAATCACAACCAAACTTCTTCATCCAGAATTCCGAGAAACTCATCAGTGGTATTATAAAATGTGTCTGGGGTTTTGAAATTCCCATTCATCATTTAATTCAGGCTGACTCAGAATGCATTAAACATTAATTACGATGCCATGCTCATCAGAATAAAATTATTAATTTTGTTCTAAATGCATCAAATTTCAGCCAATCGATAACAAGAAGCCTTCATAAAGAAGGGTTGGTGGGTTTCAAAAAATCGGTTTTTTTTTCATTTTCGGCATCCTTATATCTTTTAGAAAGGTGTGTCAAAATGCCAATTCGCTACACAAAGAATGTAAGTAGCTGTTATTCGTTTTTTAAACGCACTTAAATATAACTAAAATCTCGAAGACTATTCGGTAGATCTACCCGCTTACAGTCGCGGTAGTCACAAAGGGCGCACTCTGTTTGCCACATGAGCAGATCGCATGCCAAATCATGTATTTCTTGGCAAACTTTGAAAGTTTCTGCATCCTTACTTCCTCCGGAATATCAAACTTGTGCTGAGCGGTGAAGAACAGTAGCCCCGGATGCTGCCGGAAGTCCACCTTGACGTAAGTCTCATCATTCATAATGAGACAATGAGGCTTCGTCAGCATCTGGGTGTACAGTTTCCCGGCCCGTGACTTCTCCACCGTATTTTGCCGTTCGTCACGATTTTGAGCCCTCCCAGTCCTTGGCTCTCTGAAAGAAAGACTTGGCCAGATTCAACTTTTAGGCCACATCTCTGACCGAAGCATTGATATTCCGCTTAAACGCTTTCACGACACGCTTGTGATCCTGATCGCTAATAGAACATCCATTCTGACCGCATTTATCCTTCCGCTTAATGCTCAGCGTTTCGTTGTACCATTCATGGTGGGTATATAAATGGTGATACAGCTTTGTCACTATATAGGCGAGGAGGTCGCGGGGGGGAAAAATGCGGTTTTAGAGCAAATTGTAAACAAACTCGGTCGCTGTCCCATACAAAAATCCAACATGGCTGAATCACGAATTTGACACATTAGAACACCTATATGTAGCCACCTTGGTACCATTTAATCACACAATACACTCTAAACTAATTCCGACCAAATTTTCAAGAGAAAATACCCAATGGGTAATTTCTACAGCTTTTTTTTTTCCGTGATACAATTTGATGTGAGACACCCTTTATAGTCTTTCTCATCACTGAACTAACGAGAAACGTAAATTTCACCTGAAAAATCAGGTAACCTTTCAAAAATAGAAATCCAATAAGAATTACATGCTGCACATAAATATCAATGGCATGGTAATGAATTCCACTAGATTCACTGATGGAGTTCAAGTGTTATACAGATAAATGTTAAGTGAAGTTCACGTAAATTTTAAGTGGCCTCATGATGTGAAAACTGTTTTTGCGTATTTGTTAGTTCAAAATGGCGCCGGTTGAAAATAGGTGATTTTTGTTACTACGAGATTGGGGATTTTTAATGTTTATGAGCGTAAGTTTGATTAATATCAATATATGAATCCTGATTTTCAATACCCAAAATAAATTGAAGAGCGTAAAATCGGATTGAGCAGTCCTCACAAGCTTAATCGCCGAACTACAGGAGTGCTTACAACAAAAAGACGTCTATTGGAGACATGATGTCCTTTTCGAAGTCATCAGTTGTTGGAGAAAAATAAATGTAAGGATCAAACTTAATGTTTTAAATAAACCAATAACCAACTTTAACTTTATTCAGAAGCAGCAATTATTATAGAGCATTGAGGAGTAAACAAATGCAGAACGATCAACCTAACAACAACCTGTTGCACTGGGTATAGATTTAAGAATAGGTTTGATACTCACGATAGTTACTAAAAAGAACAATTTTATGTTGATTATAATAAAGTAAAAATTCAACAAATAAGTTAAAATTTATTTAAAAAAAATCCAGATGATATAATGCAATACCACTGCATTAAAACACATGAAACATACCACAAATTCACATAAATATTACTAAAAAAATCCAGTGACGATTACTAAACAATTCACGTAACTATTAAGTGAAGCTAATTTGACGATCATCGGAACGTCCGATAAAATTTACGTGAAAATCACTTGCTTTTCATATGAATCACTTGAAACAACATTTCATTCCCAAAACACGTAATATTCACCTGAAAAGTACGATGGAAAATATTTACGTACCTTTTCAGGTGAATATTACGTGAATTTTATTTGCAGTGTACAACACGATTGTTTCTGGCAATTAGTCAAACAATCTGATCAACCTCCATGAATTTTAAAACATAATTATTTTAGAAAACGAAAAAATATGATACCAAATTAAGTCCTAATTTTAAGATTGCCAAAATGGAAATTTTTTGCAAGGTTCGGAGTCTCAGATAAATTCGATTTTTTTTCTCGGAGGCGAACCAGCCTCTGGCTGAAAACCTCCCTAATGAAGAAAATTTAACTTAACTTTTTTTGTGAACTAAGACTTGGAATTTGTTTAGGATGTCTCGTGTGTGGTTTGCATTTTCAGTAGAGAAATTTATAATAGCCTACGTTTAAAATAAAAATCAAGTGATTACACCGGACGGATTAGTCTATGGTGACATTGGGCTATCGAAATCAGCTGACATAATCTTCTTGATAATTTATGAGAATAAGGGTCAGTCAGTGTAACCGTCTTTGTCGATCTCTTTACGTTTGTCAGGGTCATTGTTATGAGTGTTTTCTCAATGTGTATATTCTTGTCAATGCACTGTGGTCCAGAATGCAGATTTAGGTGGAATTATATGTTTTGAGCCTGAAATTGAAACTTTAGACTAAAAGTCCCTTCTACAAAGTAGTTCCTTATAGTTTGTAACCGTTCTGTTACAAAGGTTCAATACAATATTTTAAATATGCACCATGTGATCGAGCATTCAAATAAACTTGTGTAACACTTGCGGTGAAACCCACCCATGCTTAACGGCCGACTGCTGAATAAGGCGCGCATGGCCGCGGCAAAATGGTGACACGGAGTCACGGGTGATGAGCTGAAGGGTTCTGCGATGCTTAGAGAACGGCCATCGTGCACTTTATCTCAGGCGAGCGTGTAGACCAGAAGTGTCTGTGGAATACATGTTAACAGAAAACAGTGCGAGTAGTGAATCAAGGTGCAGTGGAAATCACCAATTCAGCTGATTCAGGACCTTTCTTTTCAACCAATCAAATGGTTTTCTGGTTGGCGAGTCAAGGACCGCCATTGCACGCTACGGTCTAGGTGACATTGAGTTACCTTGACCTAACCGTAAAGGACATTGTTCTCGGGCTGAAGGCCCTAAACGCCAAGGAGAATTTCCCTTCCCGGTTCGACAGAGGGCGGCCTTGCCGTCGTCGACCGGCTTCGTCAGAAGGAAGCGCCTGTGCATCGGAACCATCTCCACAAACCACTATACCAGCCCGGTAAAACCAACCCGCCATCGCACTACAGCCGACGTTCGGTCAGTCTCGCTTCGTCTGCCATTGTCGGAATTGTACCGGAATTTCACCGAGCGGTGGTACCGCCATCTTGCCGACAAGATCGGCCTTTAAGGATCTTTCCGGAACCACAGCGAGCGCTCGTTGGTCTGCAGTCGTCGTAGTCATAATCGTCATCAAGGAAATACAGTGTTTAAATTGATCCGCGTTGTGTTTTAGTTTAATTGAAAGCTTGAGTGCCTTTTCATCCGCGTAGCCCCTCCAGTTTGCCCAGTAGTGCGCCGACTCTGAGACACAGTTCAAGGAGTCTCGTGCTGCTGAGTTGTTGTCGGGCAGAACATTAGTTTCAAGTTAGGCCCTTATTTTTATGACAATGAATTCTAGGGTGGTTCGTATTATCATTTAAATCAAAAATATAACTTTTTTGTTTGAATATATAAAGGTATACATTCTTCGGCAAAGTTATAGCTGAGCTAATTTCAAGCAACTTTAAGAATATTTCAAATTTCTCATGAAAGTCATCTTCTAGAAACTTTTAAAACTCTTTAAGACGAATGTTTTATAGCGAAATTTGTTGTCTGTATCTCTTCTAATAAAAAAGATATACCCAAATATTGTAAAAAATTGAATAAATTCGAATTGATTTTATACGAGTTTAAAAAATAATATACCTGCAATTTTTTAATATTATTGAGAATAACATACGCCCTTTCAAATGCCGTAAAAAGACTTTTAGTTTGTTTGCCCCAACCAGAGATATTAACATTTGAAAAGTGCACATTTTTAGTATAAAAACGTCAATAAATCTTGATCGGCGAAAGATATTGACAAGCTTTCTGCAGCAAAAAATTGCGCCTTCTAAAGATCTAAAAGTCATTTGAAGACACCTTTGCTGAGATATTTGAAATAAAAAAACTAGAGCAAAATAACTGTTTTTTAGCGCCACCCTAACTCAATTCAAGAAAATAGCTCTAAATCGGCCAATTTAAGAGATACAAAAAAGTTGTTTCCTACAAAGTTGCTTGAAATTAGCTCAGCTATAACTTTATCGAAGAATGCATACCTTAATTTATTCAAACAAAAAAGTAAGATTTTTGATTTAAATGATAATAAGAACCACCCTAGAATTCATTGTCATAAAAATGAGGGCCTCACTATAAGGAACTACTTTGTAGAAGGGACTTTTAGTCTAAAGTTTCAATTTCAGGCTCAAAACATATCATTCCACCTAAATCTGCA